TTTTTTTTTTTTTATAATACATTTTGGTAATATAACATTTTGGTAATACTAAATACTGAATGCTCCTAATTATGCTTCTTTATATATATATATATAGACAGATAAAAAAAAAATTGTAAGTTTTATTATTTTTATTAAGCTCTTTGATCAATGTGAGTTGTTTGTAAAAAGGGGTTTTAAATTTGATAATATTAATATATGATACTATTTAAATAAAAGAATAAAAGTATTGGTAAAATTTCTTGCCTAATGCACCTTGAAACTGGTTTACTTTTCTTTATGAAAATATGAAAAATTTCTTATTTTAAAAATCTTGCTGATATGAAATCACATCAGTCAACATGAGTTTTTTTTTTGGTCAGATTTGCTATAGTAATAAACGTGAATGAATAATTTCTTCTTTTCTTCTTTGGATTGTGAAGTTTCTGTGCGATTCACGCAGTAAGTTTTAAGGATTTGTTTTTGTTTTTTTGTCATGAGCGTTTCTTGAAGACATGCTGTACCTTTGAAACAGAAAGCTCCCAGCTTCTCGCTCGGTAAGGGAAATCCAGTTTGGTTGAGGAAGCGGTACATAGTCCTCACGCCCAGCTGTCCTCTGCCGCACTGCTGTCTGGGTAGAGAGATGGGGTAGCGGGCGCTGCCGTCAGACAGCCAGCCGAAGTCACAGCGGTCCAAGCCGGCCCTCCAGGCTGCATGCAGGTGACCTGGAGACGCTAAAACTGCGTCCTGTCTCTCGCACTCCTCCCTGGCTTCAGCTAGAGTCATCCTAGCATCAGCAGCAGTGAAAAACACCTCACCTGAGATCACACACACAATAACACATCACCTTTTGTCCAGTGCACATTCATAACAAATAAGGCAATCCCAGAATGCACTTCTACAAACTTTAAATATAACCATTTATTATTGATTAAAATAAATAATAAATTAAAATAAAAATACATTTATTATTTATAAAAAAAACAAAAACATATATATATATATATATATATATATATATAGGTAATATTTGTTATATTTTTCTTTTGTTCTTAATTTCTTTTTTTCTTTCAATGTCGGGGTGACCCAGTAAATTTTAGGATTTGCATGATCAAGACATTTTACAAAACAATATAGAAGTAATTTACCGATGTGATTAAACTAGATTGCTATAATCACCAATAAAGCCACACATGGATCTATTTCTATTTATTTTGTTGAAAAAATAAAATAAAATAAATAAATAAACAAATATTTGTGGACATTTATGATTTTTGTTTTCATGTCAAATTTCCCTTCCAAATTCTCATTACTGTAATGAAAAAATTATATTTGTATTCTGGGTACAGAGATGGGGTAGCGAGCGCTGCCGTCAGACAGCCAGCCGAAGTCACAGCGGTCCAAGCCGGCCCTCCAGGCTGCATGCAGGTGACCTGGAGACGCTAAAACTGCGTCCTGTCTCTCGCACTCCTCCCTGGCTTCAGCTAGAGTCATCCTAGCATCAGCAGCAGTGAAAAACACCTCACCTGAGATCACACACACAATAACACATCACCTTTTGTCCAGTGCACATTCATAACAAATAAGGCAATCCCAGAATGCACTTCTACAAACTTTAAATATAACCATTTATTATTGATTAAAATAAATAATAAATTAAAATAAAAATACATTTATTATTTATAAAAAAAAC